CACAATAGCTAACTATGGAACCAACCAAGGTGCCCTTCAACAGATGAATGGATATAGAAAATGTGGCATATATACACAATGGAATATTACTCAGTCATAAAAAAAGAATGAAGTTATGGCATTTGCTGGTAAATGGATGGAAATGAAGACTATCATACTAAGTGATAAGCCAGTCGCCAAAAAACAAAGGTTAAATGACACAGTAAGAGGGAAGAATAGAAGTTCATTGGATTAGACAACGGGAATGAAGGGAGGGAGAGAGAATAAGATTAAGAAAGACCGTAGAATGAATGAGACATAGTTTTTCTATGTTCATATATGAATACACACCCCAGTGTAACTCCACATCATGTACCACCACCCTAATGGGAAGTTATACTCCATATTTGTATAATATGTCAAAATATACTTTACTGTCATGTATATCTAAAAAGAACAAACAAAAAATGAAAATTTAAAAAAATCTAAAAAAAAAAATAAAGGAATTATGAAATCCAGTAAGAGGTTGGTACTCCTGAAGTTCATTAACTAGATCATTCAACTTGAGTTCACATAAATGTTCTTTCCGTCAACAGGTGAAGTCATTAGCATAATGGCATTTCCTCCATCCTCCTCCTGATGTTTGTTAGTTATATTTGAGGTTGTCAAGATATAACAATGCACATTCATCCTTTGGGCCACAATTGCCAATTATGGAAAACCTGCTTTAACATTAATGTGAACACACGGCTTTTCTCAGTCTTTTTGTCACAACCTCTCCATTCCCAAAGGATTTGTTTTAAAGCATCTCTGAGTCGGCTCGAGTTCTTGGTCAAGTGCTTTTTGCTCACAAAGGGCTCTTGAGTACTTTTGAGATTTACTTTTATGTTTGCCCTAATTCTAAGTGGCTGGGAATAATCCTCCCTTCCCACCTTCCTTCCCTGGGAGCTCCTCAGAGACTTTTCTCCCTGTGTTCGGGTGTTGAAGGAGACTGGTGCTAGGTCCACACACTGTAGCCAGAAGATAAAGGGTAAAGCCACACACTTGGTTCGTTGTTCTTCACACCCATTCAGGAATTTGCATACTTACCAAGGTGGCTTCTGAGGGAAGAGGAGAGGACTTCCTGTGCTGTGGTGTGAGCTTCTGTTTTGTTCCCTGTCCTTCCTTAGCTACCAGTGGTGCCTGGGATGAGTATTCCCTCAGGTCCGTGTGTTGAAGGCTGGTCCACAGGATGGTGTTATTGGGAGGTGGTGGAACCTTTAGGAGCTAGGGCCTTGTTGGGGGGTAGTTGGGTCCATTGAGAGTGTGTCCTTGAAGGGTCTTATGGGAGCACAGTCCCTCAGATTCTCTCTGCCTCCTTGCTCATAATGTAAGTAGTTTGCTCCACCACAAGCTCTAGATATGATGTTCCACCCTCCCCAGAGCCCAAAGCCACGAAGTCATCCAATCTTAGACTGAAACTTTCAGAGCTCGAGCTAAAAAAAAGACTTTTCTCTTTATAAGATAAATATCTCAAGTATTTCCTTATAGTAATGTGAAACTGACTGATATAGCTACCACTCTTTGAGGTTAATGATATTGAGCTTTTTCTATTGATGAATAGTTTTGCTGGCCCTTTTCTATTTTATTTGGAAAAGAATTCTCTAAAGTAGTTTTATTCTTTCATCTTAATGTAGATATTCCTAAAATGTATATGCAAGCTCCCTGATTCATATTCTCACAAAATTTGAGATTAATGATTCATACATTTGTGTGCCCAGTAGTGCTCAACTTAGGTTATATTTATCCTCCCTGAGATTCAGTGTGACGCTATCTGTAAAAGAAGAATATGGTCTTCTCTGGCTACACCTTATTGTGAGATTGTGGCAATAAGGTAAATGAGGTAATGTGTACTAATATATCTCAGAAAAAAAAATCCCATACTCAAGAGAGAAGGCATTATTGCTGTTTCCATTTTCTCCTTATGTGAACTGAAAAATTTGCTCAAGTACCCACCTGCTCTTTACTTCTGTGTGGATAACACGGTAGCTAAACTTGTTACCTTTTGTCACGGAGATTTCATTCTACTATTTCTTAATAATATTGACATTACAGTGAATAAAATAAAAAGGTCTCTTTTGTGATGTGTTTTCATAAAGATCTTAAAACAACCTTGAAAATACTCAGATTTTCATTTCTCAATGACATGAACACAATGATTAATTTTATATATTGAATCTGTTTATCTGGAACTTGAAATCCCACCCCAAGGGAAGATTAGTCAGTTCAAAACTTTCTAAAAAGACAAAGAATTCAAAAGGGAAAGGATGCCCAGGAGCCATTAAGTTGTTCTGTATCTATTTACAGTATTGTTTGTACTGGATAGATGATTACAGAAAAGCCAAGTAACATAAAAAGAGAAATCCTTAATTCTACCCTGGAGACAGGCAGAGCAAAAGATGAACAGCTGAACACACAGAGCTGGGAACTTCATGTATACTTTACCTTGCAGTAAATCAGGGAGATAAAGGACTTGAAATAAATGTTCCCATGAATTCCAAAAACTAAAAGCTGTGTGCTGGCTTATGATGACAACCAAGTGGAAACCCACTGGAATCCTACATTAAATGACTTCCCATACCCCCTGCCCCTGAAAACCAATAACTTTGTATTTGTACCGAGAGGGATATAAGAAAGAGTTTAAAAGATGCATTCATTTTCATGACTGAGTTTTCTTAGGATTTTGCCAATATGGCACCTACCAATGGAAAGCTGTGGTTGCTTAACCTGTGCTCTCAAGAAATTATCACCATTTCTGTTCCTTGCTATAGACTTTTGCATTACGGGAAGATTATGACAGACGTTCAAACTTCCAGATCCATTAATCTTATTTTCTGAGATCAGCAGGCAACTTCTTAACACACATATATTTACACTTACACTTTTCTTAAACATCCACAGTGAAGAACCCATTAAAGAAACATTTCTTCCAGCCATGATGATTATCTTGGGGTTTGAAGACAGACACCTTTTAAAGTCTGGGGGGTACCATATGCAGGTAACATCTACATAGAAGGATAGCCAAACAGGGTGTAGAAAACTTTGCTTAAAATAACGACATACTTCAAAGCTGGGTATATTTTATTTATAAATAACATTTTGATACAGAGGTTAATAATATGTTTGTTCCCAAAGATCCCGAGTTTATTAGTACAGATACATCAGAGAAGAAAGATAACATGTTTTTATGCTTCTGTATTGTGACAGAAAATAAACAAGGCTGGTTATATTCAGACATCTTAGTAGACATAGTGCCAGATAACTTGCAAACTACAAGCATTGGGTTTGTTTCTTATTTGTGGGCATTCCTGAATAATTTTCCTGAATACTTTCATTTCCACTATCTACACTATGCAATTATATCACATCATTCATGTGCCTTTACATTAACTTAAATTTATTCTTCAACTGTCATGAGTTCTGCCAAAAAAATATTTAGGGATAAGCAATATTTAAATTTAACCTCCTTTACTTCCCCTCCATTCTCTCCCTGAATTAATTTATTCCATCTGTGCCATAAGGGAAACAGCCTAACACAATTGATAAAGAGATTGTTTTCCTTTATCTACTCTTATCCATCATATCCATCTGGAAAGTGTAACATACTGAAATTATAGACATATACTTAACGTTAGTCACATTTTATATGCCGATTCTTTGCTTTTTAAAAAAGAATTATCAAACGTAGACACTGATACTCTGAAGCCTGAAAGTTTTAACAAAGGTCAAATACTTTTTCTGCCCCCAATAGCACCATCTCTGTAACTTTTGTATAGCACAGGAAATGATATTCTCAAAGACTCCATAAAGATGGGCAGGAAGTCATCCTGTCCAAAGAGAGTTGGCTCAAACACACACACACACACACACACACACACACACTTCCCGGAAATGCCTTCATAATACTGTTTGTGTGTGCTTCTTCCTGTATTTGCATGCTTCATAGAATCAAAAAAATGCCTTTCCCATTTTAAGCATTATTCATTTCTGATCTGTATGATTTTCATAATCTCAAAAAGCAATTCTAATTTGTGCATGGGAAACGGAAAGTTTCTATGGTTAGGTATTAATGAGAATGCATAGCCTGATATGACACAGTTTTTATAAGGCCCCAAGGTTCCTTCCAAGGATGCTGCAGTCCATAATCAGACCAAAGGCTAAGTAGGTCCAAGGCGAGCAGCAGTTTAGGGATTCGGAGCTGCAGTTCTTCTCCACTGGACTGTGGAGGAATCAAGCAGTCAGTGGCTCATGCATGTAGACTCACCTGTCTTATTTTATTTAATCTTGAGATGAGAAAGGAAACCCATAATATTCCCAGTGGATTTCTGCCCAGAAGGCAAATGTCAGCTATGAAACAATTTAGAGAACTGGAATTAAAGGAATGAGTTCTTAAAAGGCCTACATTCCTTTTTTTAAAAAAATAATAATATAAATACTTGCTTTACTGAGCTTCTGAACTCTAAGAATTTGCTTTTGCTTAATTTGATCTTGGACCTGAACTCATTTCATAAAAAATATATGAAAGGGGCTAAGACTCTATTTCTTCACTCCAGCAACATCTTTTTAAAATATTTATAAAGAACACAGAACTCTACTCAGTATTTCATTTAAAATAACAAAAGGCTGATGGTTGAAATCACAGAAAGAATGCATAAAAGGCAGAAGTAAATAAACAAGACTTAGAACTCTTTTTTAAAAAAAAGAATTTAAAAACTAAATTGTGCTGCAAAACTACTTTTGCAATTACAGTGTCAGGTATGGCCCCACTCTGTCTCAGAGGCACTGTATAAATATGAACAGAATCATCTGATGCACTTTTTGAAAACACTGCTTCTCAGCCAAGGGCTAGCGCAAATTCATCCTACGGCTAGGTGTCCAGAACACATGTTGGTTTGCTTATTGGCGACATTTTGGCGACGCATCCTATACTAACAGGAAGGCTAGAGACCAAGCATATGACAAGAGCCAAACCCACCACCCTGTTACTTCTTTTCGTGCTTCTTGGTTAACTCCTGCACACCCAGCTGGCTGCGGCCCCGGGCGTCGCTGTTCTTGTCTTCCCGGGGCTGACTCTCCTGGGAGACCTGCTGCACAGCCTGTAGGATGGCATTCTGCACAATCTGTTTGCTGGCATTCTGCAGTTTCACCTCCTCAGGCTCATTTCCAGGCTTCTCACCTAACCAAAAATATAAAAGGGAGGTGGGAAGAAGAGAAATCAATTTGGAGAACTGTGACAGAGACGAATAGAGGAAAAAAGTGCTGGAGTAGCCCAGTCACAGTGAGGAGCCCTCGTAGCACATGCTGCTATTGCCTCCCCTTCCTCATTTCCAACAGAATCTCCATACCGTTCCCCCATGATGCACCTGAGTTCATCTTCTCACCATCCCAGAATCCTCATTTGCGAATGGTGGTCGCCAGACAGTCCCTGGCCACAAAAGACCCCTGGGAAAGTTTGGGGAAAGGGACAGGCTCGTGCTCCACTGGCCTTTTGCACTTCCCCCTTAATTCCTGTGTGGTTTGCAAACCCAGGGCTGGCAGGGGCTGCGCTATCTTGCAGTAAGTGTGAAGATGAATGTCAATATTCTGAGGATGGTTTGGAGAAAAACAAAAAAGCCCAATTTCAAAGGCATCATTGAGCATCTACACAAGCCCTGGACCATGTTTGCAAGGAAAACAATCCCCCTTTTTTAATGCATATTATATAGATTCTATGTTATCTGCAGCCAAACACATGCCTGATGGGTATAACCTCATGGTGCTGAAGAAGAACAGACAATCCCCTACACCACATCAAACTCAGCTCTGCTCACATAATGTGTCAGAAGGACTGAACCCATTCATCAGAGCTGTCCTCTGAGATCTAGAACAGGGCAGGAAAACTCCTTCCATATAGGACCAGTGATCTATCAGGCTTGTGGGCCATATGCTCTGAAATAAATGCTTAACTCTGCTGCTGTAGCATAAAATCAGCTATAGATTGTAGGTAAATAAATGTGTGTGACTGTGTTCCAACAAAATATTATTCATTAAAAAAAAAAAAAAACAGGTTGCAGGCAGATTTGGCCTATCAGCTATAGTGTATCAATTCTGATCTAGAAATGGTGGGAAATGTCTAAAGAAAAAGTGAAATAGTGTACTCAACACTAACCAACACTTTCTATTTTTCCTTAATTAAAAACAAAACTTTGCTGGGTGCCGTGGCACACTCCTGTAATTCCAGTGACCCAGGAGGCTGAGGCAGGAGGATTGCAAATTAGAGGGCAGCCTCAGCAGTTTAGCAAGGCCCTAAGCAACCTAGGGAGGCCCTGTCTTGAAATTTTAAAAAAATAATAATAATAAAAAAGGCTGGAGATGTAGTTCAGCGGAAGTTTATTTAGTGAAAATTCTAGAAAAGGGCTTTTTAAAAAAACAGGCGAATAAAACCTGTTGCCCTCTTCCGATTTTACTGCTCACAACTCTGACCCAATAATTGTCATTACAAGGCCGCTGAGAGTCCTAAGGAAATCCTTAGAATAGAAACCATTTTCAGGGGGGTTGGAAGAAAAAGTTAGAAGGAACCTGGCATTCCCATGACCAAATGGCCACCAGATCAATTCTCAGTTGTCCACTTCCAGGCCCCCTTCACATTACAAAATCATTCCTTGTTTAGGGCAACTGTTATTTTAGATTTTATTTTATTATGCAGCACACTTAACAATAACGCATACAGGGGCGAATGATGGTGAGTCTAACATTTGAGTGCAGTGCAATCCTGAAATTTTCCTATTCCACCTCTTTACATTTATGGTGATGAAAAGAATGTGTACTGCTCCTTATTCAAAGTCACCTTTTCAGATATTTCCTCTCTTCAGATACATTGCTACCTTAAAATATATCTAAAGTTGGGGGAGGGGTGTGGTTTTTCACCAGGATCGATTTGTAACAATGGAAATTATACATCCATGAAAAGAACACTGTAAGGGAATATTGAGTCCTTCTGGAACATCAGGCAGCTCTCATCCCTTTAGACAGACAGCTGTCATTCATTTTGCATTCCGGTCCATCCCCAGGGGGTTTATCTTACCCTCTAGTGCACAATGCAAGATTAACCTATTCAAAACCAAGAGCAGTATGGAAAAGGATAAAATGAGCCACCCACACCACGCCAAGCCAGGAGGAAATCCAGACAGGCTGGAACTCCAGAGGGGCAAAGAAGAAGGCTTTGAATGCTCTCTGTAGAAAAAGAGTGGACAGTAGTGAATGGCAATATTATGGGACCCTAGGGGACAGCTATTAAGAATACAGGTTTGAAACGCTTCAGAGTTGTGCTTAAGTCCTTTCTGCCACATCTGTCACACAGTCTTGAGCAAAACACTGCTAAGCAGGTTTGCACATCTGTAAAATGGGCAAGCAGGACCTCTGTAGTATGGTTGCTAGAGAAGGAAGTGACATCACAACTATTCAGAACTCTGTGTGGGTCCTGACACATCAAAATCACTTAGTAAGTGACCACATGGTGTACTAGTTAGGTTATAGACTGAGCTGTTGTAACAGAGGCACTCAAAAATAGCTCAGCTCACACAGGGAGAGAAGTTTATTGTTCTCTCACGTGACAGTGCAGAAGTAATCTGTGTGTAAGTGGCTTGCTCCACAGGTGATCTCAGGACTTCTTCCTCCTCTCATCTTACTGCCATGCTATTCCCCCCAATAGGACCCTCATTTACGTGAGTGAAGCTGGTCAAGCAATATCCTAGTGGAGTTGGAAGGGAGCAAAAAAAAAAAAAGGAAAAGGACAAACAATTTCCTGTTGGGGGGGGAATGTACTGGGGATTAAACCCAGAGGGGCTGGTTACTGAGCCACATCCCCAGCCCGTTTTATTGTTTATTTAAGAAAGCATCTTATTACATTGTGTAGGGCCTTGCTAACTTGCTGAAGCTGGACTTGACATTGCAATCCTCCTGCAACAGCTTCCTGAGTCTCTGGGGTTACAAGAGAGTGCCACCACACCCGGCAGGAAATTTCCTTTTAAAGATTTGTCAAAGAAGTTGCAATGGTCAGTCAACTCCCATTCTATAGAGTGAAACTTAGTCATCTGGCCACACCTACATACAAGGGAGGCTAGGAAATATTGCTGTTGCTGGGTAGCTGTGTGCACTAACTGAAACTTATGGTGTTCTAATGCCAGAATGAAGAATGACAGATTTTTTTAAATTACTTCCATGCAAGGGCCAGGTTTACATTGAAAAAGAAGGACATATACTTACAACAACTTAAATCTGATATTAAGGGAGCTCTTTCTACTACCACTATCTAGCATAAGTGTGTAGACAAACAAACAAGAAGTTCTGAAGACTCATGCTTGCTCCAAGAAAGAGTATCGAAGTCAAACTGCAAGTGTCTTCATTCTAGAACGTTCCTATTCTCTAGCTATTTTTCTGTCATGGAACAGAGGAAGGAAAAGTCCAGGGACAAGAATAAGCTGAGTCTTTAATAAGAGAAAAAGAGGAAACTCTATTCCAAGTTCAACTGGGATCTGATATTTGACCTAAATTATCATGTTCTCATCCAACAATTATGAGTAATAAATGTATATAAAAGTCAACGGCAGTCTATACCAGGCTATACCCAGGGCACCACAGAGTGACAGGAGGTTGACTTAAGCAATCCTCCCTCTGTGTTTAACCCTCTTGTCCTCATTTCCATTTTGTTCTAGGCCATCAATATTCATCCATCTTCAGTGGAGGATGTGGGACAGAGGGTGGCAAGTGGCTGGCGGCACAAGAAGAGAGGAATAAAGACAAGGAGAGACGCCACCATGCACTTAAGAGACAATAAAAACAAAATAAAGAATTATACAAACCACAGGTATGTACTTATTTGTGTAGACTCTTGTGCATTCGAGGAATCACACTCTCTTCTATACCTTAAGCTATAGCACAAGAAAGAGGGAAATGGCTACAAGGATACGAATGTCATAGCTGATTTTTTTAAATGGTACTGGGCATTGAACCCACAGGCACTTAACCACCGAGCCACATCCCCAGTCCTTTTTACTTTTTATTTTAATACAGGGCCTCGCTAAGTTGCTTGGGGCTTTGCTAAGTTGCTGAGGCTGGCTTTGAATTTGCGATCCTCCTGCCTCAGCCTCCCAAGCAGCTGTGATTACGGGTGTGCACCACTGCTCCTGACTGCGTACCTGACTTCTTAACTGAGGCTCACAATACAATTCAGAAGTCAGCAGAACCCAGTAGAGCTCCAGTCATTGCATTGTCTAGATTTCCCTCTCCCCTGAGAGGGCCTCGACTCTCCATCTGCTACTGCCCCCAAACAACCCCTCCTGTTCTTCTGGAGTCACCCTGACTTCATGGAATTTACTTACCCTTTTCTCTACTTGTTTATGACTCGCTGTGTTTAATGATTTTACATGCTTCCCTCTCCCAGAGGACATCCCAGCTAAGGTTCTGCTTTCAACTGATGCTCACATATCTTCTGCTAGAATTCTTAAGAGAGTCTGCTGGCCTCTTACCATCATCCCTGCAAACTGACCTAAATCATGCCAGCCATGCCTCAAGTCAGCTGCCACTGAGTGCCTTTAGCTCATGCTGGCTCAATCAGCTGTGGCTAGAGAGGTCAGGTCCTGGGGTGAAAGTAGAGATCCTTAGGAAGAAGGACCCACCCATGAGCCCCCTGCCCCCAAGAAGCACTGTAGGCAGAGCAAGGGTTCACAAGATAGGTTTGGGGCAGTATAATACCAACATGTGATCCAAGCCTTTGACTGAAAGGACATGGTATTCATGAAAATCCTGGTGGGGACCCAACCCTTCACAAAAGCACAGGGTGAGGAAGCGCAACCGGACAGGAGGCAAAGCCAGCCACGGAGTTCCTTGGAGTGTGGCCATTTACAGGCATTCCACTTACTTCAGGGTAATGAATCATCTACACATCGTAGGTGGCCTATTGCCTAGTTTTAAAGGATGCAAATGTCCTCCAGCCTAATTAGCATTTACATCATTTTCATATTTCACAATTATGACAAATCAATGTAATTAGCTTTGAACCCTAACTACCCAATATAAATACACTGAAGTCAAGAATGTGGCATAACTAAATTTGTCTTCAGTGCCATTCCACATAAAATTATTACCCACCATCCCTACCCCCAGGCACCCATATGGTTCTGCTTCCCAGTGACCAGCCAGCCCACCGTCAGGGGACCAGCCTTCCACAAATCACCTGGAGCTCTACATCACCCCCACCCCCACCTTACCACTCCCGTCAGAGCTTTCTGTTTCTTTCTTACCTACCCCTGTGAAAGGTGTCTGAGAACTCAGTTACAACATGGCTAACAATCGGTCTTCATTCCTTATGTGTAACTATTAAAATTGTGCCTCCAACATTATATGAAGATCCTCTTGACCCAAATTTGCACCAACACCCCCCACCCCGGAAGAACTCAAGTGCTATTCACCTCTCTTACATTAACCTATCATATTCCACTGAGGTGGATTTGGGAAATGGTCAGTGTTTCCTGGCCCAATCAGCTGTGGCTACAGAGATCAGGTCCTGGGGTAAATCTACATAGTGATTTTGCCTAGATGACACAGATAGGGTGGCAGAGCATGCACCTCTCTCTCTCTCATCGCCCCCCACTGAGTCACTGAATATTCCAATCCCAGAGTCCCCCATGAGGGCAGAAGGATACCCACCATCACTACTGCACACACTCTTCAAAACGCTCAGCTGCTGATGGTAACCATGGGGCATATTTTTTATCTTTTCCTCCGACCGCTCTCGGGTGTAAAGACAGTGTTATCATTCATCAGTGACTAGCATATGGAACACTGAGAACAAGGACTAATTCTAGTCCCCTTAATAATGGAATGATGGTCTTTTTCTCTGCTCTGTAACTACAGGAATTTTCCATGAAGGACCAGATGCTAGATCTCACCCATCTGTGCCAACTGCTAATGAAGCCATCCTGGCTGCACTGCTTTGAAACTGAAAACACTGAAGTTCCAGCACCTGGGTTTCCAGCTCGCTGTCAACCCCACCAGGCCATGCCCTTCCCCCAGGCACCACAGCCAAATCCACAGCAGCCTTTTAGGGTCTCCAAAAAATAGATTTGAGATATAGAAGGCAATACGGTGTCAGCAGGTATAGGACACTTTTACATCTAATTCAAGTGATGCCCCAGTATTACAACCACAATCCCTACTAAATCGGGCAGAACATCTGGACTCACCCTTGCCTCTGCCTACAGTGGCCAGGCACATTATTTCAAACTACAGCAAGCTATTCTTATAAATTATAAGGAATTCTTTATTTAAATTTCCCATAGAACGATGTATCAGGAAGATATTCATGGAGCATCTGTATGCCCAGTACTATGGAGTATAACATAGGCCACTAGGCCAAAGTGTTTTATTTATTCATGCATTAATTCATACAAGAACTAGAGGGCTCTTGCTGTGTGACCAACATGAAGCTAGGTACTAGAAATGAAAATGTTGAGCAGAACAGTCACAACCCAGGTCCTGTTTAAATTTATAATCTAGTGGAAGAGTCAGATGCTAAATAGTCAGGCAAGATTATAACTTTGAGCCGTGACATGCACTATGACAGGAGCACTAGATCCTATCCACAAAGAGAACTGATCTAGTCTGACTGTCACAGAAAGAGGTCCAGCGGTCTTGTGGATTAAAGAGGCATTAACCAATCAAAAAAAAAAAAAAGGTAATGTGAGAGCCGGAGGACAAGAACATGCCTAGCAGGAAGGTCAAGCCCAAGTGGAAAGTCCCCAACATGCGTAAGAGCCTCGCCCTGCCAGGAAACCAGGTGGTATGAGTGGCTGTGTGCCCACCAGGGGAGAGGGATCCCAGGTCCAAATGAAGAATGGAGGCCAGTCCGGGTCAAGGGTGGGAGCCGGGAACTCATTTGTTTCTGAGAATAAAGCAGCCAGGTACCGTCCAATCTCGCCACATAGCACAGCTGAAGAAGTCTGCGGAGAGTGACATTATCATGGTGGGAATATGCAGGATTTGCAGCAGACCTTAAAAGAGAGAAGATTTGGAAAGATCAAAAGAAAAAGAAAAGGAATTCTTTTTCTGTCCTTGGAGGGCAGGGCAGGCATGTCACTAAGAGTTCAAGAAAGTTTTTTGCCTTACAGAGCTACTGAATCATCTTAGAATGTAATGAAATTTATACAATATTACTGGGTTGCAATGTCTTAAGAAAACCAATAAAACCTAAAAAGGAAGACAATTTTAATCTGGAATCAGATTTGAATATTTTGGCCAAGAACAGCAAAGGTAATTTTGAAAAAGACCAATAAATAGAAGGACCTAATTCAACAGCTACAAACGATAGCTGTAAAGCTATACTAATTGATCTGTTTAAATCATGATATGACCTCCTCATTCAGTTTGGGTAGGTCACATGTCTCTAGAAATTTGTCAATGTCTTTGATATTTTCTATTTTATT